CACCTATTAATGACGAAAATGTAGCTTGCTCTTCAGGCTCATGTGCGTTCCTTCGCGGCAGACATACGCGCCGCATGCTCGGGATATTGGCTATTTTTGTGTAATCAAGATTTATTGCTTTTGTATTGTGATGCAACCAGACAAAAAGTAAGCCCAGATTTAACCGCACAATAGTAGACCGTAATTATATTGGTGAAACATGCGTCTTTTTTCCGTAGAGTTTAAACAAACACAACTTAAAGCTTTTGTTAGTTGTTTTGATATGTTTTGCTGTGTAAATCATGCAAATATTTCCCTAAAATAATGCGAAACCTTCGCTTAAGCAACTCTGACGTCGGGAAGTACAAGTAATGTCACTGCTCAAGCAGTCAGATTCGACGGAGAACAACAGCATTACAGAGCTAAACATCGAAGGAATTGTCCATTCCAAAAAAAATTGTTTCGAAAGGAGCAGGCTGGCAGAATCTGAAATTTTACCCACTAATTATACCAGGGATCAACTGGGTGAGAACAAAAAAATGTAGTTTTGGAAAGGTTGGAAATGTAACTCCATACTATTTATCGGGTAAAAAGAATAATTTTCCAATAGCTTTCGTTGGGTTTCAAACAAATCTAGCACTAAATTCATTCGCAAAGGAAGCACAACTAAAATATTGGTCTCTATAGCTGGGGAAGGTATGATACATATCAGGGAATTTGGGGGGTGATTACAAGAAATTTTGGTAGAATACTTGCAAGAATAGTATATTAACACATTTCCTGGTTGTATACCAATAGAGTATTTTTCTTGCACCGGGAATATTACATTTTTTCCATGTGCGGAAAATATCATTTTGTCTACATTTGCGGGGACGGGTCTGTGGACGGATGATGAAACCAGTGCGCTGAAAGGTTAAAAGAATTCTATGCTCGGAAGAGGATTTGAAAAAAGAACTAAGCTTGCGCGCAAAGTTACCCGAGAACTACTTTCGCGTGGACAGAATTTGACCAAATAATTTTTGCGACCAAACTCTACAGTCTGGGTTTTATAGGGGCTCCACTATTTCAGGGGGATGGGCTGCCACTTTCACACCCCCCACCTGGTCTACAAAATTTTTACCTTAGACGTTCTGGCAGGATAGACCCCAAGCAAACCAGGTATCTAACGTGTTTTCAGTAGATGTAGGGGGCATGTTCCCCGTATGTTCCGGCAGAAGAGAGCCCAGACCCAGGAACAGTTTTAACCACATCTTACCCTTAGCCTTATCTCCAGACTGGCCAAGCTGCGGGTGTCTGGGATTGTTGGGGTATTCCAGGCCATTGTTGGCAGGAATTGCGATTGCTCACAGTAAAGTTACACTGCATTCTTCATTTTGTTTTTGGGACTCTTTTCCGTGCTCCACAAACCCACTCGTGTCTGTCTTTTCTGGGTAAATCTAAGTAAGACATTTCACACGGGAGAAATAGTGGAATCAAAAGTGAAAATTTTTTAAAAATGCAAAATCAGAGTCCAGCGCCGCTGTAAAATGCTCAACGAAATTTGTTAACCTAACCTAACTTAACCCAGGCACCCTTCCCGGGGGTATTTCCCTCTCAGGGGCAAGCCCACGGACCCCCTTCGCCATACATTTCAGAAAGCTCACAGTATTGTTTACAATCGTGACGGTTCGAGACAACGAGGTCTGTGGACTCTTAGAGAGGCAACCATTGAATTTGAATTATTGCACAACCAGTGAGGTCTCCACAACTTCTCCGACTTGTAGGAACACTAGTCGGTAATTTAATTATACTTTCCTCGGTATATATAGTGCGGCTGTCTTAATTAGTATTGCCCTTTTCAGTAATAACACGGTGTCTTATAGTGCAGGCATTGTACTTCCACTAGAAGTTTACCATGATCTTGCTAATTATTTTTATTTCACAGTAAATATGAGGCTGCAGTAGCTGCACCTATCTGGGTAATTGTTACAGACTATGACAAACCCTCACAGAGACCAAGTTCCAAAGGGAGGGGGGGGGTAAGGGGTATAATTGAGTTCACGAAGCTCCAAAGCAGTGGTGGGATGGCACGATGTCAATATCAACCTGTAAATGTCGAAAGAAACTAAATACCATTTAAACATTGTTAAAAAGTTTAATTATCTGAAAGACTAGTCAAACTTTGTCCGACGGGCAACAAATGAAATACCCTAAAGTAAAGAAGCACAACACAATGCGTACAAAATTGATATCCAATACACAACAAAATTTTCAAGAATACAACAAAATGTGGTTATCATGCGAACCAAAATGAAAACATAATGTATCCAATTAACCCCCCCCCCCCCTAAATGAATATGTAATCAAATCAGCAGTTGCTGTCACATTTCGGCATTTAATTGCCCATAATATGAGGCCATGCGACTGGCATGTTTCTCCCAAAAGTGCCCATACCTACCATAAGAATTAATTTTTAATAACACTATTTATCCATTATGAAAAAAGTTACTTTTTTTTTTTCATTGTCTTGAAAACATAAATATGAATATAAAATAAACATTTAAATAAATAACTTAACTTACCCCATGTCACACTGCACACAGAAATTACCAGGTCCATCCAAGTCAAGAGCTTACCAGAAAGTGTTCAAGTAATGAACATTGTGTATTGTTCTGACATGGGAAGCCATTAATGTAAAGAGGCAGTTACATTATTACATTGTTAACAGTGAATCAGGGTTATGATAACAAAATTATAAATCATAAAATATCTACCTAAGAAAGAAGAATACTTGTAATGTATAAGCATAAGAGGAATAGAGGAAATGTTAATAGAAATATGATTAAACAATGGATTTAAAAATTAGTAATCAGTAATGTTTCCATGTTGGTTGAAAGTAGTGCACAGAAAACGTGACATTTATAGAAAATGAGAGACGTATAGAAAACAAGTTTATAGAAAATGTAAACATAAACAAGGAACTCTGGCTGTGTAAGGGTGTAGTGGACTTAGTCTCTCACTATAATTTTTTGTCTTTTAATGGTAAATATGAGGGCTCTGCAGCTCAAACTATGTTCTATCCCACTCTATTTCTTCCGCTCTATAGAATGGCGGTGTCCATTTCCCTCTATCTACGCGAGTCAGGGTCTTTAACGTATATCCCTTACTCTGTGCATCGCTCTCAGTAACATTAACTGGAAATTTGGATTATTGAATTAATTTTATTGCATAGGGGCTTGGTGAGTGCATTCCTACTATAGAGAATTACCATGAAATATGACAATAAGGGCAAAGCTCCAGAGTTAAGGTATAGTTTGTTTCATACAGCCATATGGCAAACTTTACCTGTCAAGGATAGAATACCAGATATTAAGACATTTCAATGTTATTTTCTTCTCAAGTTGGTAATAGAAAGGTTGCACAACACACAATGGCCACACTAAGATAGGGAAAATCAAAAGACTGCTATAAAGAAAGGGAAAAACTACACTGTAATACATAAAGATTTTAGTTTCACACAGCCATCCAATCATGCAATTATTATTCCAGGTAATCTCTACAGTAAGGAGACCCAAAGCTAGAATAATGAAATACAATGGGAATTAGGGGCAAAACCCTGGCTTAAGGTGTTTGGTTCATATGGCAATACATTAGACAATGTAGTAACTTATTCCGTGTATAGTAGTATTGATAGTGATGTATTTCATTTGATCTGTGATATGCTGCAGATATTTTTGTCATTTAGTTTGTATGGAGATGAGTGTGGATTCCTAGAAGTGCCCTAGAAGTGGTTGTTTGGAGGAATAGGGACTTGGTCTTATAGTGGTGCATTCATTTTGTAGACAGTGAATGTGTGTGTGTGTATTTGTTTTGGGTTTGTAAGTATCACCATGTATTGTATTGTTTGTTGTATTCATGTGCTTGTGATCATTTGGCTAGATTAGGTATAAACAGGATATGATTATAATGAGTTATTCTTTAAACATTTGCTTTATTGATTTTTTTTTTTTTTTTTTTTTTTCCTTTTCAGAAATGGGAAAGGGATTTGGTGAGCTTGCCCATGTCAGAGGCATCATCAAATACTCTCTGTCTCCCTTTGAACAGAGAGCATTTGCTGGAGCCATCAAATATGGTGTTCCAAATTTGTTCAGGAGGTTCCGTGGACAGGTGCTTCGTGTTGCTCCTCGTAAGTAATTTCTTGTGCATCATCCATCCTCCATCATCATGGTCATCAGTCATCATCAGTCCCTCCTCCTCCCTGCCTCGTACATTTGTCAAATGTCTTGTAAACTTTTATCTACTTTTTTATTTTGTATATAGACACAGACAGTTTTTTAAAAAATGAACAAATGATAAAGTAAATGAAAATAGTGTGTGTACTAGTTTATTTTATCACTTTGGTTTACTTCATTTTTTCCCTTCCAAGCATTCTTTTTATTCATTCCATAGAGCTGGAAAAATGTGATATTCACTGCAGTAATTTTCTTTTTTTTTATGTATGTATAGATGAATTCACAAGTGCTTAGTCACCAAGGAGTCCATTAGCAGTCTAGGTGCCCTCACCTGATCCCCCCCCTCCTTTTTTTTTCTAATGCTATTAATGTTGATACTGTTATTATTAATGATATTATAATCGTCACTGTTATTCACAATACTAATGGCAGTGTTAAGTAAAATGAAATATTTCTGGAAATCAGAGAAAAGGGTAAACAGGTGAGATAGGTCAGACTTGTGATTGACTCTGATTACTAAGTACTTGTGTTACCATCTATGTGTAAATACAATTGATAAAAGAGTCTCGCTGTAGACATCATTATAATTTAGCAAGTAATTTTCAGATATTGTATTAGGTATATAATATGTACTCCTACCTTCCTATCTTATTTTCTTATTTGCAGCATTCATCATTGGCTACATGGTCTACCAGACTGTGGAAGGAAGACACACCCAGCTAATGAGGAAGAATCCTTCTGACTTTGAAAATGACGAATAATTTATATCTGTAAATATGGAAGTTGTGGTTGTAAACCTCTTTTGGATTGATGTTAAAAACAAAAATGTTAATAGAGAAAACATGACCAATTATCTTGAAATTATTCTAAAGTGCACATCTTAATACCACACTTCTTTAATGTAAATATCCATTAACCAATAAATAATTTTGTAACCATTGCAGTTTTATTTATATGTTGTAGGTATGAATTATAGAGGATGATGTTTTTTCATGTACACATAACCGGGACATGATATTGAATGCTGTTTAGCAATACTGAATGTTTTTATTCAAGGTGGTATAAATACTTCAATTTTCTGTAGTACATAAAAGTATTTCATTGCATCCAGAAATGTCCAATTCAATTGCAAAATGTTAGATTTCATTTTTCCTTCAGTTGTGTGATTTTTTTAATTTTTCTTATACATGAAATGATAATATACAAATAGTTGTATAAGACCACAATCTTAAAATGAATTTAGAGTTGACAAAATATGTTGGTATAAAAATAAAGTTAAAATGTGAATTGCCTTTGTACTACATGTTAGCACACAAAAAATAACAAGTTTAGGAAATGTATTCAGTAGGCTCTCATTTCTACAAAGAAAAGCCTTAACACTTCATGATCATTGAAAATTTGAGTGTTACTGAAACAAAGACATGTGCATCCTTTTTAAATTTTCTTTCACTGTTGCATCTGAATAACAAACCAAATTGTCCTGTATCATATTCCTGTATTATTGTCAAGGAAGATTCTTAGAGGTCTGAAGAAATATCGCCTGTATGTGTCAGTATAAAGTCCTCGAGTTGTCTTTTGAAGTAAAGCATATGTTCATCATTCTGCAGGAAAAAAGACAAATGTTAAGTCTGAAAAACTTCCATGTAGTGATACTGTACAGGATACAAAAGCTATCCTAATATTTCTACAGTTCCCACATTGACTAGCTCTCCCAGTGGCTTCATCTGGCTGTTTTTTTTTAAAGTTAGTTATATATCAAATCTAAAGATTTCTTATCTTAATATTATGATCCATATTCAGAATTTCACATACACATGCTATGTAACATAACATCACAAACAAAACATGTGGATCAACAAAATTATTTGATATTCTACACATTCTGGGTATTCTGTTCTGTAATAGACTGAGCTGGGGTACCTGACACGAGAAAGACCAGAAGTGGGATAGGCAAACTAGGATTGGGATATACTGCTTATCAAACCCTGCTTAATCCAAACATGTTAGAGATTAGTGCACCTTCCGTCCCAATATGGAGTGGAGATCACAGTGAGTTGGGAGATGAGGTGTGGGCTTCACCTGCAGGAGAGAATATCCAGAGTGAGCTGCCAGGGCCTCCTCACTAAGCATCACAGCTGCAACAGCATCCCAACTTTCTACTGTCTTGCGCAAGGCTAAGCGAGCATGACAAGATGCTACTTTAGCCCTTTAGGAGGAATACAAACTTAAAAAAAAACTGTGATGGTGAATTGTCTTATTATTGAATATACTATGGACTCAACTCTGAACATAAAGAAAAGATAAAACTTGTAATAACTTACAGTGTGTGTATGGCTGTGATAGGCACCGAAGCACCTTGTACGCAGTCGCCTCTAAGTCTTCTAGTGGCTACATAGTATCCGCGGATTAACTTTTCTGCCTCCAGGCTGAATTCTACATCAAGACTTCGTGCTATGGAAAGAAACTGGAACAGACAATCAATATTTTTTTTTAGAAGAATATAAGGGAGGGTTTCTTTGTATTACGTTACCACAAGCTGAAACAGTTACACAGTTTTACAGACAATAATCAACATTCCCCCAAACTAAGGGCTAAGCACTCGACCCAGCCAATTTAGGCATGGTCATTACTTCCTTTTTTCCTTTCCTTTTATTCTTTAGTGTCTTCTGTCCACTTCCTAAGTTTTAAGAGCTATGCTGAAAGGATAAAATGCCGGCTTTGTTTCATGGCAATTCGTTGGTTAATCGTTTGGCCCATACCATTGAGGATACCTCCTCAACCTCTACAAACCTTTTAGGTACTCTTTTTAGCCCAGTCATGTGGGATCATTTCTTTGTGATTGCAACCCTTGACGTTGACAATATCCTCTTCTAGAAATGTCTCCAAAAAAAGTAGGCAAATATTCCTTCCACAGCCGTTCCGATCGTGAAAGTTACATCTTAGTCCCAAGTTCGTGCATTATCTACCCTGATTGACCTCATTGGCAAACCTAGGCTTCCTGCCCAGCTTCACTCCTTCCTTGATTTTAATACTTGTACCGGAATTGTCCTGTCTGCAAGGATTGGTCAGGCTGTGAAAACGACATGTTGCCTGCCTTGCTGACTATGATGCACTAGCAGTACAGAGCTACACCATTCCTTCCAGTGGCCGCTGCAAGTCCTCCGCCAACACTGCCCATATTACCAAGACGACCTCCTTGAAGTTTAAATTGACGGAGAGTCCTGCCCTGTCCGACTATATAGACCCCTTCCTTATGAATGTCAGAAATGTCGGCGTTTTGGCCACCCTGCCAAGGACTGCCGCTCCATAG